CTTCATATGCCCTAGTGTGTGACCTTAAGGTTTGCCTGTCCTATTTGTGAAGAAAAAGGATGGTAGCCTATGGTTATTCATTAATTATAGGCAACTGAATAAGGTGACTATAAAGAATAAATACTTGCTTTTGAGGATTGATGATTTGCTGGATCAGCTAGTAGGAGCTTCAATGTTTTCTAAGATCAACTTGTGATCTGGGTACCATCAGTTAAGGGTGAATGCTAAGGATGTGCCTAAGACAGTGTATCATCCTCGATACGATCACTGAGTTTTTAGTGATGCCGTTCAGATTGACAAATGTGCTTGTAGTTTTCATAGACCACATGAACTGCATATTCCATCCTTTCTTAGATCAGTTTGTTATCATTTTTCTAGATGACATACTATTATATTCTAAGGATAAGGAAGAGCAATCAAAGCATCTGAGAATTGCGTTGAGAATGTTGAGAGATAACCACTGACATGCCAAGCTAGGTTAGTGCAAATTTTAGCTATGAGAGGTATGATTTCTCAAACATCTAGTATCAATTAAGGGGATCTTAGTGGATCTTCACAATATGGATGCAGTTTAGTAACTGAGGTGCGGAGTTTTCTAGGTCTATTGAATATTCCCAAAGATTTATTTAGGGATTTTCATAGATTGTTATTCCTTTAACTTCGTTAACGAGAAATGATCAGCCTTTCCTTTAAGATGATAAATGTAAAGTCACCATTGTAAAGTTTAAGGAGAAGTTAACCTCAGTATTAGTATTGATTATTCCTGATCTAGGGTTTCCTATAAGGTTTATACGAATGCTTCTTTAAAAGGCTTAGGATGTGTATTGATGCAAGGAGAGTAGTGGCATATTTGTCCAAGCAATTACAACCTCATGAGGAGAGTTACCCGACGGATGACCTAGAGTTAGCAATTGTGGTATTTACTCTTAAAATTTAGTGATATTTTTTTATGGTGTAAAGTTTAATGTACAGAGAGATCACAAGAGTTTAAAATATCTTATGGATAAAAAAGAGCTTAACATGAAGTAGAGACAATGGATGGAATTCTTAAAGGATTATAACATTGAGTTTAAATACCATCCAGGAAAAACTAATGTAGTAGTTGATGTGTTAAGTTGGAAGTTACTACATATAGCTAGGTTGATGATTCAGGAATACCAGTTGTTGCTATCTTTGCTAGAAGCACAACTTGGGGCATCATATTATTCACTAAATACAGTCTACTCTATAATGATTTCTAATGAGTTTTGGAATGAAATATAAAAAGCATAGATGAAAGGCAAGTTCTTGTCAAGTATTTAAGAAGACATTGAAGAGGGTCACATTACTCTATTCTGGTTTAGTGATGACGGGTTCATCTTGTACAAGGACAGAATTTGTATACCAGCAGATGAGGGAATTAGAATGAGACTCTTGGAAGAAGCTTATCAGAGCAAAGATGCAATACATCCTGGTGTGACTAAGATATATCATGATATAAAGAAGCATTGATGGTAGCAAGGTATGAAATGAGATGTCACTGAGTTTGTAAGTCGATGTCTTCCATGTCAGAAAGTGAATATTGAGTATCAATGATTGGATGGGATGCTTCAACCTTTAGAGTTTCCCTAGTGAAAGTGGGACAACATATTAACGGACTTCCTGTCTAGTTTACTGAGGACTCAATTTGGATATGACTTTGTGTAGGTTGTTATGGATCATTTAACAAAGTTGGCACACTTTTTCCTATTAAAACAACCAATGATATGGAGAAGTATGCAGAGGTATATGTGAAAAAGTCGTGAAACTACATGATGTGCCTAAGGACATAGTCTTAAATCAAGATCTCCAATTTACTTCAAGGTTATAGCGAGCACTATAAAGGACTATGGGAACTGAGTTGAAGTTTAGTACCTTCTATCACCCATAAACTGATGGGCAGACTGTGCATATGATACAAACTCTGGAAGATATGATTTGATCATCTGCCCTTAAGTAGAAAAGTAATTAGGACATTTGCCTTTGGTTAAATTTTCCTATAATAATAGCTTCCATTCAAGTATTCAGATGGCACCATATAAGGCATTGTATGAGTGGAAGTATAGATCTCCTCTATAATGGGTTGAGTTGAGTATGAGGAGCATGATTAGTTTGAACATTGTGAATCTGACCACAGAGAATATTAGAGTTATTTGGCAAAGGCATTTTACTACCCAAAGCCATTAAAAGAGTTATGCTAGTAGGCGGCATCAACTATTGGAATTTGAAATTGAGGACCATGTATTTCTCTAAGTTTCTCCACTAATCAATATTAGTAAGTCTATACAGGTTAAGAAGTTGTCTCCTCATTATATGGGATCGTATTAGATTCTAGATAGAATAGATCCTATGGCATATTGAATTACTTTACCTCTACTTTTATTTAGGATACATGACATTTTCCACATATCACAATTGAAAAAGTACCAATCGAATCCGTTACATGTGATTGAGCCAGAAGAAGTAAATCTTTAAGAGAATATCACCTACCGAGCTCAACCAGATCAGATAATGGATGTCAAGTAAAGGCACATATGTAACAACACTATTCGATTAGTAAAAGTGTTTTGGTGAGGAATGGCTCCTGGTGACACGACATGGGGGATGGAGGAGAGTATGAGGAAGCAATATCCCCATTTGTTCCCATGAGATGAGTTATGGTTATGTTTAAATTTTAGGGACAAAATTCATTTAAAGGAGGGGAGAATTGTAACACCTTGAATTTCAATCCAAGAAAACTAGTTGCTAGTCAAGGGTAGAATAGTAATTAGTGGATTGATTATGTTTCAAATAAAGTACTATTATGTGGTGCTAATTGATTGGTGTGGTTACAGGGTTGTATGGTAGAACTGTGAATCAGAACATAACGTGCGAGCAATAATGAGAATTATCTCACCGTGCCATGTGTTACGGCATGTGTTGCAAGCGCCATAGGGCATGGCATAGAATTCACATAAAGCTAACATGCATCAGCTTATGAAAATAGAAGGGAAATAAAGGAAATTGTGCATGAGGGAGAGGAGAGCTTATCTCTACTAAGGCATCAATTATCCAGAGTTTGGAAGTTTGCTTCAGTCAGTAACTTGTCAGGTAAGTTTCATACTTCCTTCTACCACATTTCTACCCTAATTTCTCTAAGCTTGGTCGGTAGAAAAATTGAACTAGGGAGTTTTAAGGATTTAAAATCTAAGGAAAAGGGTTAAAAAAGGCTTTTGGGTGTGAAACTAAGATTTTATGACTGGTCTAAAATTGAATGGTTGAATTTTAAGAATATAGGCTTAAATTAACTGAAGTTATTAGGTTGAAAATAAAGAAAATTGGTAAACAAATGAGTTAAGAAGGTGTTTTGTCATTTGACTAGCCTAAGGACAAATGACTATAGAAAAGGGATTATATGAACTCAAAAGGCCTTAGTGAGTTATTTTGTGTGTTAAGAGATTTGGCTCAGTCAAATTGGTGCTTATGTTGAGTGTTGAAAACTGAGCAAGGAATGTTCATTTTGTAGATTGAATATTGTATTCGAGGATTTCTCATGGAAGTTAAACTAACTTGAGAAGTTTAGCAAGAACGGTAACCCTTAGTAATGAAGGTAATAGGTAAATGGAGTAACCCTTTTATCTATTAGTTTGTGAAATTATTTAAAAGTATTTTATATAATTATATGCATCGCACTTCATAACTAATAGAGTAGTAACATTATGAAAGAATTATGTATATGGGTGTGTGAGTGATGATTGTGATGTATGCAAAGGAGCATGTGTATTCGTGTTAGCGAGTGTACCCTAAACTAGGGTAAGGGGTCGCGGCCCTACTCTATGTAAGGTTAGAAAATCTTGAAGGTCTTAAGTGTAGAGCTTACTTTGCTAGGAAGGACTTAAGAGAATATCTGTAAGTGTACCCTATACTAAGGTAGGGGGTCATGACCCTACTCTATGTAAGGTTAGGAAGTTCTAAAGGTCTTGATCATAAAGCTTGCTCTGTCAGGAAGGACCTAGGAGAATATCCACGAGTATACCCTAGACTAAGGTAGCGGGTCATTGTCCTACTCTATGTAAGGCTTGAAAGTCTTGACATTTTAAGTATTGAGTATGCTCCGCTAATGGAGACTCAAGAGACAACCCACACTGATGATATCTAGTCTGAGATAGTAGTTCGGTGGGCCTTATTTTGTGTAAGACTGGAAGTCTTGATTCTAGCATTGAGCTTGCTCTGCTAGTGGGAACCAGGAGTGCATGAGCATAATAGATGGTTGTGTATGATTTTCATGTATATACTATCTATACTATTTTATTAAAATTAATGATACTTTATCTCTTGTTTATGATTTTACTTACTAATCGATAATTAAGGTTTTTCCAAGTTAATAGAACGTATGTCTTACTCTGTTACCTTTGTATACAAGTGAAGAGAGAGCTAAAAGGCCTAAAAGGGAAATGAGAAAAGAGTAGCCTCAATTGGTAGTGGTATAACTACCTTTTTATGTAATGAATGTATAATGATATTTAAGAAATTATGGGTTGCCAACTAGGATGCATATGAGTATGTGAATGTTTATATGTGGTTGAATTGTTGAGAACTTGCTTGTATACTTTGTAAGCATCTCACTAAGTGTATCTCAGTGGTGAACATGTGGTTAAGCCTAGATGCTATCCAAGTAAGTTTATGTTGTATTGTATAACTTGTTCTACTTAAAAATATGTGAATGGTGTTGATGAAATATGTACTTATATAAATCTTGACCAAATGGTGAGGCTTAGCCCTATTTGTATGAGTCAAGGATATTTATGATTCCTGACTATATGGTGATGCTTAGCTTATATATGTAAGTTAGAGGCATGAAAGTAGAATATGTAATATCTTGATTTTCTAATCCTACTATTAGCCATTAATCAGGGATGAATTAGTAATTAATAGATGATTATACGTTCAGATGGTTATTTGATAATTTAACTCATTAAGATGTTGAATGAGCAGATATGGGTGGAAGAATCATGACCCAAAGCGAAGCATGTGCGCGCAAGTAAGGATTGTCATCACTGTGGCTAATACTGCTTGTGCCATGGCGCATGTACCAAAAAATGACCTTGTAAGTTGTGATTTAGCTTAGTTTTTGATAGGAAATTAGTCGCTTATCCTCAAAATTACACTAAAGCTAACCCTAATGCAATATAGGACGAACCCTAGGTCATCTCTCAAGGAATGATTTTAAGTCTAATTGAAAGTTATCTAGTGAAATAAATCAACCAAAGTTTGTAGGAATTTAGTTACCTAGCTAATTATCTAAACTAATTACCTAATGTGCAAGTAATTAAAATGCTAGTGAAAGTGAGTGAAATGAACTTCCCTTTTCACAATAATGGAACCCTAAAGATTAGTTGATTTTGGACTCATTATCTTCTCATGATTAGACTAAGTTTAGCTTCCCTTTCCTCTTGACTAAAGCTGTCATGACTTAAGAAAATTATCCTAAGCCAATTAACTTAATTAGCTAACCTCCCTAGGTCTTAGATTAAAGTCCCTAGTTCAATTAACCAATTGGTGAAGACATTAGCCAAGTGATTCACTCAAAATCCTCTCTTAACAGCCATGGTGAAACACATAAATTGAGCAACCACAAGATTATGTCAAGCTACTCAACAACACAAGCATTAATACCACAAGATTATGCAATATTAACACAAGATATTCACTAATTGAAAAACACAAGATTATGTGACAAACAAAGAGTGACAAAATTCAGTCATAGTTGTCCAAGGAAGAAATTAAATGAAACAATCCTCTCTCTTTACATCAACATCAAATTCAAATTAGAATTTATAAGCTAAGATGATTAAACCCTAGATTAAGGAATCTAACCATCTAGTAAAAAGAGAAGAGGATAGGAAACAAAAGAACTTAGCCAATTTGAAGCTCAAGACTCATCCTCCATCTTCATCTCTCTAGGATTCCACAAAGAAACTTAGCCAATCTTCATCTTCAAGAACCCTAGTGATTGCTTGTGAAGGCCAAACTCCATAGCTCTTGAATGATGGAAATGAGCTTCAATCCTTGTGAAAATGGAAGGGATGGAACGAAAATGAAGAGAGGAGAAGAATGGTATGAGTTTTGTGGAGGTTTGGTGGCTGAAAATGGAGGTTAGGGTGCTGGAAAATGAAGAACAAAAGAGAGAAAATGAAGAACACTATGAACAAGAGAGAGAGAATGTGAAAGATGAATGAGATATGTGTTGGATCCCATTTGGGGCTTAAAATGGCATGATCCTTGGTGTCTCCCATCAGCTGAAGCTTAATTAAAATAAGGAAAAAGAAATTAAAATGTAAATGGGAGCCTTGTCACACTTGCAAGGTGGCAACTTCCTATTGGTTTGTAGATGATTCCAATGTGTGCCTAATTTTCCATGTGTCATCCACATCATTTTAGCTTATTTAACCCCTCAAAATAATCATAATTCACGTGCAAACCATCAGCCATTGACCTCAAGGAGTGTTGACCTCAATTGCCCAATTGATGCACAAGTCACATGCCACCTATGTCACATAAATCACATAATTCAATTAAATAGCATATGATATAATAAAATCTAATTCATGTCCAGAATTAAATTCATAATTAGAAGGGAGAATTTATTAAATTAACCAAGTTTCAGGCTGCACAAAATTATATAAAAATTTTCACACAAAGGCAAACCAAAAACTAGAACAAACTAAGACACTTAAGAAAGTGTTGACTTTTTTATTTAATTACTCCCAAACTAAAATGAATTTTAAAAATATAATTTTACCATTCATCAACTGGACATCAAATTCACTTTTTCAATTTTTCTTTTACATTTTCTCAAAAGTTCATTTTTTGGACCAAAATGCCCTTAGTGCACTGAACCTAAAAACTTAGGCAAAGTTCCAAATCTAATGCAATGTGTGCACTTGAAGGTGATAAATCATTAATAAAATAGTCCTAATTGACAAATAAAAGTGGGTAACAAATGTGTTCTGTAACATCCCGAAATTTTAAAACTCGGATTTATAAAAATAAAATAAAATAAAATATCTATAATTAAATTAAAATTTAGAATAATTTAATAGAGGTCTAGAGTTTGAATTTTTCTAAGCAAAAGTTTAGTTTTATTTGATTTTTAACTATGGAAAAAATTACCAAAGTTGACCTGGGCTTTTATGCAATAATAAAAAATATTGGGCCATTTCTTGTAATTTTCTCCAAAATTTTTGACCAGCATTTTAAGGAGCAAACTAATGCAGAAACGCAGAGAAAATGAGAAAGGAAGCAAACGCACAAACGGGAGAGTGAGAGAGAGAGAGAGAGGAAGAAGAAAGGAGAAAGAGAGGGAGTTGGGCTTGGATCTAGGAGTCTTTACGACCGTTGCGAGCTCGGCTACACGATAGGTAAACTCCCTACTTCAATCCTCTTCTCTTTCTCTTGATTTTCTTCAATTTTTGGAAGAGGAGATTTTTGGATTTTGATCCCAAAGGCTTTATTCTTGTAAGCTTTTGTTTCTTTGGATCCTAGGGAGCATGTTTTGAGTTTCTATATAGTGATCTAATGTTTTGAGTGAATAATTGGATGAAAAGAGGTGTTTTGGACACAAAATAAATCCTGAGAAATTGGGTTTTTGCTCTTCAATGGTTTAAGCTTATTGATTTAGTTATAATTTTTCTATTTGAGCCCAATAAGATTTAAATTAAGGTTTGGTTTCCATTATAAAGGCTAATGGTGAAAGTTGGTGACACTAAGTGAAGGTTTTTAATTGATAAAAAATTATATAAATTGGAAATTAGCCTAATGATGGCTAATAAATGGTTTTGGTGGTTAAGTGATACTATGTGAATGGTTGGTTAAATATATGGACCATTAGGGTGGATTATGACTCATTGACCTAAGTTGTGTGGTATAAGTTATAGTCTTCATTAATGCTATTTGTCATGATAAGTGATGTGGATCACTTATATGTTGTAGAAAATTGTTGGTGGAACTTATTGAGAAGTAAGGAACAAGCCGAGCCCTATTTTGTACAAGGGGAACCCTTTTGGTACCAAAGGGTTGAGGTAACAGGGGAATTTATATTTTTTATTACTTTATTTTAGCTATTTTTGAATAAATATTACTAGTTATCATGCATTACATGTTTTAAAAGATTAAATGTGCTTTATAAGGGGTTATGGGGTACTATTTTGATTATAGTGCAAATATATTTTCTAATTGTTTAATAACAATGTTTTTATGGAAATGAGATTTATAAATATTATACTACTTTAGAGTGTTGAATGGTCAATACTCAAGAAAGGTAGACAAGAGTAAAAGGCATGATCTCGGTGGGAGTTCACCAATGAGAAGGTGTGGATTTTTGATATTCTATGGCACACTGTCAGTACTCAGTGTTGTCTTACGTATTGTGGGCTCAGTGCACTAAAGTGGTTAGTGTATTGAGTGTTCGACACCTCTCAGTGGGGGAGGGAATCCAACATATGAAGTGTGAGGTTGAGTGCCTAGGCCAAGGTAGCCCTCACATGGAAAGTAAGTTGGGCTGGCTCTGGGAGGAAATTAGCTTTAACTGCTTAGGATACACGTCGAAGGGGCATAGGAGGTTCGGTGGATTAGATCATGCCTTAGATTATGTTTTGTGCCTGTGGAGGTACAAGTAGGTATAAGGTTTACCTGCGAGTTAAAGAGTGCCAGGGGGCATTCTGTTGGTCATGAAAGGCCATACCGGCCTAGGTCATGCATTCATACATTTTAAATGGCTAAATTATATACTATGTTGAATTTATTATTCGTTTATTCGATTATGGCTTACTTTGTAATAATCAATGTAGATTTCACTGTTACTGAGACTGTGGTTGTCTCACCCCTTTCTTTTCAATATTTTAGGTCCAGGCGAAGGATCCAGTGGTGGACGGGGAAAGGAGCAAAGCTAGGGGTTTGCTTGTGATTTGTAAAGAACTGCAACCCCTTTCTTTTGAGCAAATATATTGTAATGTATTTAAGATTAGGGTGCCAGTAGATATGATTATGTGTGTGTGTGTGAATATGTGTGGATTGTGTGCTTGTGTATGAATTTTTGTCTGTTTGCAGAATTGTGGCTAGGAAACTTGGTTATGGTGTGTGGTTTTGATGGATTTACTTAGTAGACCAAGTTTCTATTACAAGCAGATCTTTATTTTGATATATATGTGATTTTATAAGCAAATGCAAAGTGGTTGCATTGCAAATTGTGTGCTATGGGCAAACATACAGCTTGGATAAAGAGAGTGGGTGTGTAGGCCCCACAAGGAGCTCTGAGCCAAGTGAAAATGTTTAGCATATGTATTTATATAAATACATGGTATTTAGATTGATTTGTGACCACTCTTGTATGATTTGTGCATTTTGGGGGTTTAGGGTCCATTTTAGGAAATGGCACCCGGGTGGTCAAATTTTGATGTATGGGGGTTTTCCATCATTTGAATGTTCTTTCAGGTGTTTTTAGTCTTATTTGACGTGTCCAAAGTGTTCCCACAGGTTTGTGACCATTAGGATGAGATTTGGACAATTTTGAAAATGGTTTTTACTAAAAAGCTGCACTTTTGCATCCAGGTGTCCAAATTTTAATCCAACAGTTGGATTTCTCTAAAATTTGGGTCACAAGTAAAACCTTTTACAAGCTTCATGTGGGCTTTGGAATCACGTCGATCGGATATCGGACGGAGAAACGACGCACTTCAGAATTTGGTCTGGAGGTGCTGTCATGACAGCATTAAATTGCTGTCATGACAGCTACAGTATTGATTTTATAACCTACACAAAATTCAATCCGTCCGTTGGATCTTTTCAAAATTTAGTATGCTAATAGTATTCTTTAAAAGTGACATGTGGGCTTTGGAATCACTCCGATCGGAGATCAGATGATAAAATGGTACACTCCGGAAGTTGGTCCGGAAGTGCTGTCATGACAGCTTTTTAGCTGTCATGACAGCTTTTTAGCTGTCATGACAGCAAAAATAACTATTTTTTTACATGTCTAAATAGCTGTCATGACAGCAAAAATAACTATTTTTTTTACATGTCTAATTTTCAATCCAACCGTTGGATCTTTTTAAAATTTGGTATACTTATAGTACCCTTTGAATGTGACGTGTGAGCTTTAAAATCACTTCAATCGGAGGTCGAATGATGAAACGGTGCCTCCCGGAAGTTGGCCCAGGAGGGCTGTCATGACAGCAATTTAATGCTGTCATGATAGCATCTTTTTATTTCACTTTCGTCTAGCTTGCTTCCGCGTGCTATAGGTAGAATCTATAAATTTTTTTAAGGCTTTAAATGGTTTGTTTCCTAAGTTAGTTTTAGGATTAATTCCTTAACCACACTTAGTTTATTTGATTGTGTGATTTTTGGATAACACTCGGGGCAAGTGTTACATGTTCTATCAGTTTTCAAACAAGGAAATTAGAGAAAAAGTGAAGGGCGGAGAAAAGAAGCAAGGGTGAACTAGGGCAAACATTTTTGGAGCATTGGAAGACATCTCTAATCAGTAACTTTTTGAGTAAGCTTCATACAACCCTTATCTCTAATTCTACTATAATTTCTCTTAGTATGAGTTATAGTGAAATTGAATTGGAAAAATTTTAGGGGTTTGTTTCTATCTAATAGTAATAAAAAGGTTCTCGAGAGTTAAATTAGAGCTTTGTAATTGGTTTGGAGTTGAAGGATAAAGCTTTGAATCTATAAGCTTAATTTGGCCCTAAACTAAGAGAAAATTGGGATGAAAATCATGTTTGAGCAGAATGAGATTGTTTGAAGTGGTATAAAGTGGTAATCGAGTGGTAACTAACTTAGAATGGATAAGCAAAAGTGAATGAACAACTAATTGTAGCATTGAGTAGTAAATAAGTATTTTTGATCAATTTAATCGATTGACTAATAATGCTAATTGTGTGTAGATTGGCATAATCTAAATGTAAAGTATAGAAAGAGGCCTTTAGTGATGTGTTAGTGGCTATTGAATCCACGTGTAACCTTCTTGTGATAGAAGGGTAGAGATAATTGAATAACTGTCTCTGTTTGACTATTACATGAAACTAATTTAAATTGAGCATGTTTTGTGTTATTGTATGGTTATGACATGGAAATGACCTTTGATTTAATAAACAAGTGAAATTGTGTAATTTTGTGTGTTTGTTTATGTTTGTGTGTGTGTGTGTGTAGTGGTGATAGGGAACTTATCATTAGTTCAAAAAGCATAATCATAAGGGTTGGAGTTCACCCGTGTGGAGATGTAGAGAAAAGACCATATAACTTTATTCTCCTTAGTACCCGACAAGGTATGGTTGGAGAATTATATCTCCTCAATGCCTTTTGAGGTGTGGTGTTGGAGATTATCTCCTTAGTGCTTATTAAGGTGGGATGTCAGAGATTCAAACTCCTTAGTATCGATATGATGCAGTATTAGAATGGGGTGTATTAGGGAAAACCATAGTCTAAAAGTGAGATAGAATACCTTTGGTTAGGTGATTCTACTACTGAAGGTGAGCACAAGGCTGATGAGAGTGTATATTCGTCTAAGGCGAGCCTATGATTTCAAGTCAGAGTGATATGGAGGTTCAATCAGTAGTGATCATACTATATGTTGGAGAAGTGGTGAATAGTGATAAAAGAGGTGAAATGATATATATATATATATATATATATGGATGTGATTTAAAAGGAAACATATGTTATATGCTATTTTTAATTATATATTATGATGTACTTGCTTATGTTTGCATGTGATACTCAATAGTAGAGAGTTATTTTGTTATTGAGATTTTTATCTCACCCTGTGTTTACATTTTTATAGGATAAACTTAGTGATCAAGGCAAGAAAAAGGAGTGAAGACTGACTTAGAGTTATTAAAGCCGTGTGATTTTAGAATTTGTGTAATGAACCTAAACTTTATGAATATTGTGTATATAACTTACCATAGAACTTGCATGTATATTTTGAGTTGTGATTGTTGAAATTATAGTGATTTTGTAAATCTTAGCCTATATATGTAAATGTATGGTGAAATAATTAACAGGGGTTAAGATTTAGTTTTAATTATGTTGTGAGTATGTAAAGTGGTGATTTGTAGTGATATTATAGTGAAAATAGTCAAAGGAAAGTTTTTGAGCCAAATTGTGAAAAGTTTGTGTTTTGTAGAAATGGGTTGTTGAATAGTCAAATTTTGATATATGTGTATATATGTGATATATTGTGATCAACAAGTATAATAGGTCTTTTTGAACTTGGTTCAAGGCCTATAATAGTTTAATGAGATTAAGAGATTGATTTGAGTGCTTAGGCGAGCTAATTTCCTTTAAAAAAGTAACTTTTTGCACATTGGTGTCCAAATTTTAATCAAACTGTTAGATCATATTCAAACTTATCTCATTAGTTAGCTCACGAGCTAAGCTTCACGAGGGCACTTGAATCACTCCGATTAGACATCATATGTGGAAACAGCGCAAGCTAAAAGTTTGTCATTTGAGCTGTCAAATGACAATTACAGAAATTGGTATGCACGCCACGGTGCATGATACAGAGAAGGTCAACATGCGTGGCTTTCTGCCACATGTCATGACGCGTGTGTTGTCCGCCACAACGCATGGCCCATAATCTAACCTGTTTTTTTCATTTTAAAGGCATGCAATGATCTATATGAATGCATATAGTTTGTTTCCACTACGTATTGCTTTAATGTGTTATGATTTTGATAATTTTGCAAAAGAAGTCTTAGGTCTAAGCTTTTCAAATAAAGTGATTGTTTATGATTTGGTTTTTATATAGTGGTGATTAGGTTAATCTTCTCCTATATTTGATAGATATAGGGGAGGGTTACAGAATAAGTGCATGTGTGTATGTGAATGCATGTGATATTCATATAAGATGTGATATATACAATGTGATGTGACATTGAGAGGTCAAAATGTGTATTTGATGGGATATATGTGATGTGATATGTCAATTAGATGTATATGGTCCTTTTGGATTTAGTTCAAAGCCTAAAGTAATTGAACACTTAAGGTACTAGTTTTTGAAAGAAAAAGTAACTTTTTGTATTCTGGTGTTTGATTTGAGATCGTACTATTGGATCTTATCCAAACTTATCCATTGGATAGATTATGTTATAAGTTTCGTGTGAACACTTAAATCACTACAATCGGACATCAAGTGCGAAAATGGCATGCAGTGAAAATTCATATCAAAAATCTGCCATGATAGCAAAATTTGATACATGCATCAAGGTGCATGGTGTGTAAGCCACGGTGCATGACACAAAACCAAGGCACGTTGCTCTATGCCACATGCCATGACACATGTGGAGTGAGTCGTGGCACATGGCTTATTTTTTAAATGAATTGTTTTATTATTTTCCTTGAAAAACATTTGAATCTATGCTTTCATTAGCTTTTTTTATTAAATATATTTTCTATGAAGTCGGGATCCTGCATTTTGAAAACAAATTAAGAGCTATAACTCTGATATTATGTTGAGATGTGTGTAAATGAATTGGTAAAGTTTGGACAAAATGGGGACTTTACACAACACATCCTAATGTTCTTGGTGGGGAATAGCCATCCCACCTACAACATAACATATATGTATTTATTTCTCATACAATAGTGAGGAATAACCATCCCACCAATATAATATTATAATATGCCATATAACTCGTGGTGAGGAATAATTGTCTCACTTACATAATATGTAATATATAATGTATCATATAACTCATGGTGAGGAATAATCATCTCACCTAATATATCACACACTCTTATACATATTTACACACACCATACAATTAAATGACTCACAAGCAAAAATAAATAATTAATTAAATAAAATTAAATAAATAAAGAGCAATAATTAAAAAAGGAATAAACAAATATCTCCTAAATTTAAATTATCAATACACATAATCATCAACATATAATTTAATTTCAATAAAGTATGAATGGTTATAACAACAAAAATATTAATCAGAGTTAGAACACTGACACAATTCCCTGTGATCTAGAAACATTAAACATAGAAAAAAAAAACTCTTGATTTTGATTCCCAAGTGAGCAAGGAAAAAGTGAAAACAATTTAGGCTTGAAATATACTAAATTTCTTAATCCTATGATTAGCTCTTTATCAAGGGTAAAGTAGTAATTAGTAAAGGATTAGAGATTTGGATGATAAATTGATGAATTATATCCTTGGAATGTTGAATGAGCAGGTATGGGTGGAAGGGTAGCATTTCAAGTCGAAATGAGTACGCGTGGTGAGAATTCTTCTCACTGTGCCACATGTTACAACAGATGATGCCTGCGCCGTGACGTATGGACCAGAAAATGACCCTTTAAGTCATGAAATTGGGGTGATTTCAAAAGAGAAAAATTAAAAACACATGAGAAGGAGAGGAAGCTGTGGTGTGCTAGGGCAAGAGATTTTGAAGCCGTGGAAGGCATTTCTGATTAGTAACTTATTGGGTAAGCTACATATAATCCTTACCTTCTATTTTATCCAAATTTCTCTGAATATGAGTTATAGAGAAATTGAATTGGTGAAATTTAAGGAACTTGATTCTTACCTAATAGTAATAAAAGGGTTTAAGCAAATTCGAGTTCTAAATTTTGTAAGTAAGAATGCCAAAGTTATTTTTGCAAGCTCAATATGTGTATGAATATTTAGAAGCAATCTCTAATTGCATGTTTGAGTAAGAGTATATGAAAATATCAAATTCAATTTCATATACTAAAACATAGCATTAACTAAGGTTGCTGGAAATATAAAGAGTTAAGGAAAGTAAAATTGCAAACAATGATTTATCCTGGTTCAACTCCTCCTCTTAAGCCTACATCCAATTCCCAACCAACTAGTTGAAATTTTTTCACTATAACACAACTTTGAGTAAGTGCTTGCCACCTTAGTATATCCATAAGTTCAGTTTAGGCACTTGTGAGCCTTTACAACAACTCACTTTATTAGTAAGCTTCTTTTTCTAAGAGAACAACACTCTCTTGATTTTAAAAAAAATCTCTTCCTCACCTTTACAAAGGTTTTGATTATGTGAATCACTCAATTGAAACTCTCTCTAAGAGTGGTGATGAGTACATTGGAGCTCTAATACTCAAATAATGAATATACATATAATATTGGCTCAATAATAATGATTTTTGTATACTAAAAGTAATATGATCATAAATTTCATAGCTCAATAATTTTTAAAGCATTTTAAGATCAATTTGGAGTGTTAAATTTATAACTCATTGAGTGAAATAAGTGTTAAAGACATTCAATGATCATTTATAGTCGTTACATAATGATTATAGCTATTAGTGCAATTTCTTACGAGTGATAAGTGCTATTTCATGCAATGCATGTTATGAAGGTTTTATATGTATAGGTGCAATATATTGCAAGTGACCTATTAAATCACACAAGAAAATTCATGTTGTAGAGAAAAGAAGACAAATCACACAAGTAAGCAAGATGTCTTCACGGGTGATTGAGACCATGAAATTTATATAATGAGAAACAAGGTTTTAGAGATCATTTCTTATGTGTGTATAGGTAGTTTCATGCTTGATCCAGAATTCAGAGGCTATTCAATATGAAAATAGGCTTCTGGTGCATTTTCATGTGTGAACGCAAGATGCTCTCACATAAGATTGAGCACTGGTACTAAATCACGCGGGCGTGACTGCTGCTCTCACATGTGATTCTGCAGCTTCACTTTACATAACTTCATAATGTCCTAACTCACTTAATATAACTCTAAATTTAATAAATTATATATCATTGGAAAGTTCTTGAAGTTTAGTTTTCAAAGAGATTTCACACAAATTCAATGTATATTTTGATATATGATCAAAAGAGTGAACGAAGGTCAAGTTTGTAATTTCTGTAAAATCAATATCTCAACACTCAACTTCTAGAGTTCATATATTTTTCAATAGAACTTCTTTTTGAATAAATAAACTATCATTGAAAATATGTTAAGAGTCTATTTTCAAATGAGATATATTTCACATTAGAATTAGCTTTGTAGTGTGAGATATGACACAAAACATAACCAAAGGTTAAAACTAATTTTCTATACAATTCACATTTTAAAGCATAGACTTCAAGTGTTCATGACTTTTTAACTTAACTCCATTTTGAGTAAATAGAACAACTTGAAAAACTTTATAAAGTTAGTAATCAAAACATTTCAAACTTTGTGAGACATATGTGATCAAAGATGAAAACCATGATTATATCTCACACTTTCTCTTAATAGCTAAAATACATATTTTGATTTAAGATATCTTGAGCCAATATTTTATATCTAAATCAATGAGTTTAATAAAAAGACTCTTAGCCTCATGATATTATACTTATCAAGTCCAAGACTTTCAAGGTGCATCCAAACTTGTATAAATATCTTCATTCTTCTTAAACTCTTATTGGATCATCCTTCTTTTTATCTTTATGTTCTTCAATCATGAGTGTAGCATGCAAATGATGACTTCAACTTTGTTTCTCTTCATGCTTACTCTCATCTTCTCTTAGGACAACTTTAAATAATATATCATGAATAAAATGGTTAGTCCGAGTGCTAATATGCATAGATCCAAGTTGTGAAACATTCTTAGATATAGAATTAATTTTAAAATAAGAAAAAATATGATAGTATAAAATAACTTTGATACACACAAATCATTTTTTCAAATCTCATGTAATATGGAATAACATAAGTAAAAACGCTTTAAAGCAATTGTTTCGTAGTTATAGTTAACTACTCTATATATGAAAACAATTAGGCATAAGTAGTTAACTTATTTATATTTGTCATCATTAAAATTTAAGGTAAACATAATGTCACAAACTATTATGTCTAACAATCTCTCCCTTTTTTATGATGACAAATCACCTATAAAAAATATGCTTATATAATAGAAATAAATGTTTAGCAAATCATATTTTTTATGATAACTTCTCTCCCTATTTGTCATTAACAAAAAGGCTTTGAAATAAATGCAAGGAAATACTAGAGTACGATAAGATTTAGAGTTTTCCCTTTAATGACTTCTCCCCATATTTGTGATGTGGAGAAATTTGAAGACTGAATTTGACTTCTCCAATGTTTATCAATTTGTTTTTCTATTTAAACATTATTCCATATTTTAATTTTAATTAAATGTTACAATTCATTTGTTATGTTTTTAAATTTGCTAATAATATTCAATTATATTATTCATTTTTATAGCTTTCGTATTACTATATTTTTATACTATTCAATTAAGATGTATAATTCACAATGATTATATCCCTACTAAAATTTTAACAGAGTGTTTGAATATTAATGTCACTTGTTATATTAAATTTGATAATAATAATTATAGAAACTTAAAAAATTTTATAAAAAAATACTCCCTCCGTTCAAACATGTAAGGCATTTTTTGAAGAGTTAATTGTTTAAAAATGTAAGATATTTTTTGTCTTTCAAGGTGTAATTATTGTCTTTTTTTTAAAGTACCCCTATTGATAATAACTTTATATTTATTATAATGTATTTAATATAGATAAATATAAAAAGATAGCAGTTAGTTTAAAAATAAATAACTAATTTATTTAAAATAAAATTTAATTAAAAATATTTTATATGTTTATACGAAGAGAGTAATATTGTATACATAATTATACCTCCAAACACGATTTTGATGGATATAGTCCAAACAAAACTAACATTCTCACTATCACTTCAAGTAAAAAGCACCCAAGCAAAAATCACAATTCATCAACACCACTTTTTGTTGATGTCGTTTTTGAAAATCACGATTATTTATAATCTCATTTGCTCAATTCCAAGTACAAGAAATCAAAGTTGAGGATGTAATACAAATTTGTAAGTTACAATTAACCTATTATCATGACCATGATTATTTTTTCCAATTTTTCATTGGAAGGTTGATTGATTTCTTAATTAATTATTATTTATGCTCCCGCATGGCTGTCGCATTCCCATTCTGCAAGTGGAGATGGCCGGACGAAAGCATCGGAAACGGAAAGACAGCTCGAAACGCCGTGAAGCCCCCTTGACCGGAGACGGAGGAGCCTCCCTCTATCGCTCAAATCACTCAGTGGACGAACCTCTTCTTCTCCGCCGTCGCCAACATTCTCCTCCATCTCCCTCCTCCACACTCCAAGACCGCGTCGCCGCCCAGCACCGGGAGATTCAATCCCTCCTCCTCGACAACCAACGGCTCGCAGCCACGCATGTGGCGCTCAAGCAAGAATTGGCCGCCACTCAGCAAGATATCAGCCAGTTGTCCTCTGCAGCAGCCGAAGTAAAGGCTCAGAGAGACATTGAGGTGGGCAAGATTTTCGAGAAATCACTGATGATGGACGCTGAAGTTCGCGCCATTGAAGCCATGAGCTCGGACTTGGCTCAGATGCGGGCGGATGTACAGGAACTCATTGAGGCCAGGAAGGACCTCGCGTCGCAGTTGCAGGAGATTGAGAGCGACCTTGCGAGGGTTCGTGGGGAGTCGCAGCAAGTGCCTGCAATCAACTCGGATATTGAGGCTATGCGCCGTGAGATTCAACGAGGAAGGTATATTTCTTCTACGCCTAATTCTTGAACCATTTTTTCTACATTTCTAATCAATGTAGCTTTCTTTGTTTCTCTTCTCTATCAGTGTGATCATAGTGCCTTCATTCGACTGAATAATCTCTTTTTGTTTTCAATGTCAAATGGATGGTGCTGTGACATTGAGCCATTGGTCATCCTTGTCCTGGGTGAACGTCTGAACGATAGAATGACATAGAATGACATTCTGTCAAATGGAACATATGCTGTTTTATGTTTAACCCTTTATTTGTAGTTTGTTTCCAAAAATTGGTTTGCGCAAAGAAACGGATAATATCTTTATCAGTAAATAATGTTTGACTCATACTTCCAAAAAAAATTGGGTGTAATTATACAGTTCACACACTGTAAGATTGGGTATGCGACCGTTCTTATTGCTTCACACCCATCTATTTCTATTCTTCTAGGGTGTGTGGATGTAATGATATGATGCTTCTTCATTATTTTGGCACGATGATAGTTCATAGTTTAAGAAAAAGGAGCAAATATTTTATTTGTAAGTTGCTATTGATATTTTATTCATGTTTCTAGTTTGTGCTATCATTTGCATTATGATTCTTAGAATAATTAATACTCTTTTATTTTTAAATTAGTTGGTTTGCTGCTTAAAGGTGTTATATGTGTGTGTTTGTGCCCTTATATATCTCCATTCCTGCACCCTAGACTTACTAAAGTTGTAGAATCCTATATATTGTATGTATCATGTTATATTTAATAAGTATACCCATATCAGCACTACATAGAGTAAAAGGAACATCATGCGATGTACCAAATATAGGGGAAAAGACTTAGTGATGAGAGAACAAGGTTAATTTTAATTCCCTATTAACTAGAAGATTGAAATGAGTGCTGTGTGATTGTTGTGGCATTGGGATAGAGCATGGTCATTGAGCAAGTGTTGTTCATTTCTAATGATGGGACTGGCAGAAACCCAGTCTATCTAATTTTTACTGCATTTAAATAATGAAATCTATATTACATGCAAGTTTGTGTCGCCAGTTGGTGTACAACTTGACTGCCCGAGCCTAGCTAGTACACTGTGCGCTTTAACTCTTTGCCCAGTTGGTTATCAATAAAGCAAAAGGGAAGCCAAAGAGGAGGCTGCGTGCTTGGCTTGATCTCAGTCTTTCTTGGAATATTTCTCTTCCCCCCGTGTTGAAGTAAAGTAAGGCACTCTTTCTCTTATATAGGCTTTTCAGCCTTGAACATCAATCCCATTTCCTGCTGCTCAATCCTCATCTTTTGACTGACCAGGGAAGATCAAACACCTCAATCCATGAAGGATTTGATAATGCCTCACTGAAGAATCAACCAGAATGCTTTCCATGGTTGACCCACTCCCCTCATAAAACACATTACCTGGTTGAGCTAAAAACTTGAATTGCATGGGATTTGTTGAAACTTAGTAGAGTGCTTTCAGAGTTCAAGGAGTCATATAAGGGAGAGGAAGACAAGACTTTGTGTCATAAACTTTTCTTCCTCTTCTCATGACACCATTCATTGGTATAATATAGTCCTCAAGTCATGTTAGTGAAGGTATAAGTTATCTGCTATGGTCTCTCTTTATCTCCCTGTTATCACTGAAAAATATTTAAGGGTGAGTTGCGAGGAACAAGTCTTAAATATTAGAATGGAAACTCCTCCCGAAAAGAAAAGAATGAGTATTCCTTCTATGGAATTAGAGTGGGATGTCAAAACTGTCCCATGACTCTTTTACCCTTGTCCTCCCTCTTCTTCCTCACGTCTTCCTTTGCTTCAACATCTCTCTAGTGCTGTTCTTTCTAGACGGATGAAAGCAAACTTGTGAATACTTACAGAATTCACCAACCCCACATCATAAACACACAACAAATTAAAGCATATCCAACAAATCCTTGACACTAGTCACCTCGGATCAATCATGAAGTATATCATTGAAAAAGGAAATCAAAGGGTTGGCGAACAAGAAGAAGAATTTGCAAAACACATCTACTTCTCTAGCCCATAATAATCATCATTGGCCATCATTGTCCATGAATCTGCCATTATCTGATCTCCATATTTCAGAATGTTCAAAATCACTTTAGGTTGAAATTGGCCTCCATGAGATCTGGCCTGAAATTTGCCTCTTCAAGATCTAGCCTGAAGAGAAATCCAATGTCACCCACAAATTTTCATGCTCCATTACCGTATATGCCCAATTTGTTGCCCTCAAAAAGATTTAGAACTTGAAAGTTGGAGAATCCCATGAGGATCATGGAATAGACGACCTTGGTCATGGCTAGTGATAAGAAATAAAAGATTTTCTGTTGAAAATTGAAAATTAGAAGGGAGAAAACGACAAAGATTGCTGATTGAAAATTTTCAGCAAGGTACAATGATGAATGGATCAGAAGGGTTTTACATTATCAGAGAAACTTGTCCTTTTGCAGCATTTATTTTATTTCCATCTAACCATAAAAAAATTAAAAATATTTCCATTCCTCCCTCATCATTCCAGACACAATCATGGAATGCCAGATTTCTTTACTTTTATTTTCCATTCATGATCTTTCCAGTAACTAAACGAGGTCTGAAATGCATCAACGAGACTGTTATGTAATAAATAAATAATGTTAGTTAAGGGGTATTCTGTGGCTAAGATTAGTTAGTTAGGGGTTTGAGGGTTAAGTGTTATGGTTTAGGCTTATGAGAATTAACGGATTCCTTTACTTGCTGTTCTCTCTTCCTCTCTATCTCTCTCTCTCTCTCTCAACTATTCTCCCTTACTTTCCCTCGTTTCTCCCTCTTCCCTACTTTCCCACACACAAGAGACCGGAAGAGAAAATAATGGAAATTGATGGGCTCGTAGAAATTCTTTGGATAACGCAGAAATGTATTTTCTTTCTCCAAGAACAGCATATGAAGAAGAAATGGAAAAAATAAGACATACTCTAGCACTTCATGGTGCTAAATGTCTGCAAGATTACAAAATCAAATTCTGGGTGCCATCTCGCATAATCTGGTTGAGTTGTGTGTTGACATCTGAATTCCTTATTCCTTAAAGAATTTATCATATCCATATCCCAAAAAAAACTTCCTGATACAATGAATATAAGAATGAGTTCACAAGGAGCTGTTCAGTGCTCAGCTATTTTTTCTGCCACCTCTAGAATCTGCAAATTTACCACTGCGTCCAGTTCTCAATTATCAAATTCTTCAACAATTTTGTATTGACCTCTTGGAAAAGTGATTGTTTTAGCACAGAGTTATCTTAGAAACCATAAATTAATATATATTTTTTTATTTATAGCTCACAAATGTGGGTTGTTGGTAGAGCATGTTGACATAATTTGATTTATGTAGTTGACCATATCTAATAGGATAAGGCGTACTGTTGGCGTTGTATAACTAATAAATGTAAAGGAGATTTAGAGCAACAGCATGCTTTTTATCTTTTATTTAGATTGACATGGATATATCTTCCTTTTCATTTCAGAATTCTGAAGCACTCCACTCTGTAACTATGGGTAGGTTCCCAGTGAGCACTTTTGATGGGATATGTTGAGTCTGAGGTGATTTTGTTTGAAAATACAAAGACATTAGGAAGCTTTTCAAGTATGCAGGATATATTATTTGACCAGTTTTTAGCATTCTACGTGCATGTGAAGTTCTTCCTTTATTTGCCCTTTCTTTGGGCAATCAGAGACTCAAAACTGCTTATCTCGTGACAATAAATGTTTTAAACTGTCATTTATTTATGAATGTAGGAATGCAGTTGAATATGAAAAGAAGACACATGCTAGTAACCTTGAGCATAGACAGACAATGGACAAAAATATGATTATTATGACTCGTGAAGTTGAAAATCTACGAGTTGAGCTGTCTAATGCAGAGAAGAGGGCTAGGGCTGCAGCTGCTGTCTCTGCAGTGACAGTGACGAATCCAAGTAACTTTCTTGATCATTTATCTTGAAGCTTTCTATATACAACAGAAGTATAACAAGAAAGTTTGGTTGAACTTTATTTTTTTAAAATGTTTGGTTGAACTTAGTTTGGCATTTTTTAACTTGTTTGTATTCAGGCCCTGGGTATCCCCCAACCTTTGACAGTCCTGAAATAGGATATGGAGGATTTGCATACTGTGACTCGTATGGCATGCATCAGGTATGCAACAGACTTTGCTTTATTTATTTCTTATTTTCACAAGCCACTCCTAATGTTAAGGTTATTGCATTCAGAAAACTCAGTGGTGGCTTTGCATCTTAAATATTACCCACAACTATTTAGTCACTACACAAGTACCAAAAGTAAAAAAGGGAGAAGGAACGGCAATGTTCCATGCTTAAGTGAAATCATTAACAATATTAAACAACCTCTGGTCCTTTCTATAAAGAACCTTTTGGGCTGTTTACTCTGGTCTACTACAATTTTTATAATATAAAAATATCATTATTGACTAAACATTTTTCTGCAGTCATTACTTAGGTGGAGATAGATAAATTGTATATGGAAAGAGAGTAAGAGTAGGGTCCCAATACTTTTCATTCTGGAAGTATTATACAATTGTTGATAAATTTAGTGCCGCTGAACTGGATTAACCATATTCCTGAATCGTTAAAAGAGAGAGGCATTGGCAACTGCAGTGAAAATCTTGTTCTTTTAAGTTTTTTCTTAATCCAAAAGATCAGTGAACTTACCATTGACATAAATCAGAATTATATTTGTTTAAAAGATATTTGCTCTTCCGACCTTGAAAACGGAGCGAATGATTTGGGAATGAATGAAAACTTGAAATGAAAGTTATATTACTTGATGGGAAACACAGGAAAATATGTTGGAAATGAGGTTGAGAACATTTAATTTACATTCCACCATCTATTTCTTAAAAATGGAATGAATAGAAAGTAAAGATAAAGAATATATAGTCATAATACCAGGAAAATAAGTGTTTCTACATGTATTGATTTTTTCTCTCTATATGTGATGTTAGATTCGAGTATTGTTAGATCTCATTGAGACTCTTAAAAAAGCTTTTGTGTGCTATTTTCTTTCTTTCTTTTTTCCCCCTCCCCTTATATTTCTTTTTCAAGTTGATGAATTCTAGAGTAACAAATTGTATTTTGCCGACATTTTTCACATTTAGGCTGGGGCTAATGCTCATCCTCAATATGCTTCTGGAGCAGCTCTACATCATCCATATGACCTGCAACATATGCATAGATAGCAATTCTGTAAATTTATCCATTTGTGACGGAAAAAAAATCTGTAAGCAGGCGATACTACCTATGATCTTAAAGAAATTATTCATCGACAGTGAGTAAAACTTTGTTAAAAAAATTTATCGTTTATTGGCACTTTAATTGTCACGTTCTTCAATCAAAGTAGCAAATATATGATTCTTCAGTTCCTAAATGAAAGATGTATAATTTTAACTGACGAGTATATTGTCCTACTAAATCATGCATTGTGAAATTGTTTTTGGAAAAAGTATACATTTATTGAATTATAATAAATCTGATAATAAAAATATGCACATACAAGAATAATCTTATTTGGCATCACTTGACAGGATTAGGTTGAGACTATTTGCGTTAGCATGGAAGTGTCTGGGCGTGGATGCGTTTAATTTAGGGTCATTGTTGTTTTGTAATATGTATCAACAGGCAAAATCGAACCTTTAATTTCACACAAGGTTTTAATTTAATTCTTTAATTTTATCAAGAGTTTTTTTACTCTCTTGATTTTAACACACACCAAAAAAAAAAATAGACTGATTCGGGATTCATCATGTTTTAAATGATAATTTTTTGTGCTAAGTATTATTTTTAAAAAAATTAATTTAATATGTTAATATTTAAAAATATTTTATTAATTTTGTTTTTTAAAAAAGTTGATGGTAATGTTCAACAATGAATAATAATTGTGGGTGATGTGACTAAGTCAGTAGGCGATGGAAGCATTGGTTGATGGTGTGGAGAACGATTGCTACAATAGTGATGGTTGATAGTGGCAACAAAAAGTAATGTTTTTTTTAATGGAAATTGAATATTGCTATATACTAAGAAAAACAAAATACCAGCATTTGATCATTCACCCTCTTCTATAAAAGATTATTTATGATCGAAGACACAAAAGTCATTTGAAACAATATGACCATGCCTGGCTAACCTATGAGACAAGCCAGTAAGGTTGATTAACAAGTGATGATGTCAGTAGTGATTGAAAATGATGGATGGTGCTAGCTAGTAAGGTTGATTAACAAGTGAGACAAGCCAGCTTAAGGGGTTGCTCATAACCTACCTATATTAATCAAAATGGGCATAAGACACAGGTTAGCCTGTACCTGTAACTAGCCTGTTTTGACTCTTTTAAAAAGACGCAAGTCTAGCTCGTATAGGTTAGATCAAGTTTAGGTTAGCTTTTCTTCACTTGCAAAATCACAAATTTATATTAAAAACAAACTCAATAAAATCAGAAGAGGAGAAATCCAAGTTGCATATCTAGAACCCAACCAACAAATTTACAGATCTAGAGTAAAGAAGCAAGAGAAATCTAGATCCCAGCAAACAAGAGAAACAAGCTATAACCTACAAGACGATTAAAAAACAGAAGAGATGAGCTACACGACATCGACGAGAAGTGATGAGTGAGGGAAAGACAAAGACTCCATGAGTTTGAGATAGTGGTGCCAATGACTTTGTGGGTCTAGACTCCAGATCAAGAGTGAAAGGATGTCGAGCAACACTTTGAAGTTTTAAGAAAAGGAGTTTCGTTCAAATTCGAGATATCTTAAGGGAAGAGTGTAGTTGTAGCCTTTGTGGGAGGCGTCATCGTGCCGAGGGTGGAGGCAAGAGGCAATTGGCCTAGGTGACACAAGGGAGACAAGGGTCCTCTAGTTGGATCTCAAATTGCATATGAAAGTGGCTAAGAGGAAGATTAAGTATAACATCCTAAAAATTAACCTCTTCTTAATTAGACCAATTAAGGGATAATTTAATAAAATTAGTATGATATGTGATTAAAGAGGACTAATGAATGCCTTGGGATGTATTTTCAAAGTAGAAAAGGAGATAAAAATGAAGGAGAATGCCTCTGTGCTAAATGTCGCAGCGCGTACTTCATGTGCTATGATACATTTGACCAAAACACACAAAAAATTAGAAGTCATACAAAATTAGAAGAGGAAGTGTGAGAAAATGTGGGAGCAAGTGGAGAGCTCTGTCAGGGCTTTATTTTTTAAAAATTGGAGGTATTTTGAAGTCATTATACTCCAAGAATAAGTCTTTTAACTCTTTCTTCTTCCTTCGCAACCCATTTTTTTCAAGTTTTAGGTTAGAGTTTGTAGACTGTGGTTGATTTTTGATCCATATAGATTATAAGTTTAAACCCATTAATTTAAATGGAGTTAATAGAAATTATTTGAGGCATTTAAACCTAAGATTTATGGTTTTACATATTTTTTGTTAGTGAGCCTAATTTATGTTTGAAATTAGGGCATTAAATGTGAAGTTTGTAAGTTGTTGAGTGACATTAATGACACTAGAAAAATTTAATCAAGTTAATTGGGATTGATAGAAGTTAATTAACTCAATAGGTAAGCTTAGATGCTAGAAATGAGAATTTTAGAGAATTTATATAATTAAAATTAGAAGCTTGTAGTGTGTAAACGATGATAATGATAAGTCTAGATATGATTAATTATAGATTAATTGTCTGTCCACCAGTTTGAGCTTGAGATCAAGTTTGGTAAGCATTTAATTGAGAGGTAAACTTTTAAACTCTCAAAGGTTTAAAATAATCAAAGGAATCTTTTCTCTTTAGTTTTTTGTTGATTGATTTTTGTTTGTGAAAATAAAATGATAGACTTGAAAGATTGAGTTTTATAATTAAAAATATGAACAACATATGTAAAGTATTAATTATCCCATTTTGGCTACATTTGCATAGTGTAATTGAAATGTGCACATATCATAATTGTGTGTTAAACTATGTAATTTGTCAAGTTGACGAGATATTGTGGGTGTATCAACATGTGAATGCTATATGTGTTAAATGGAGAATTGAAAATACGTTATCAGATAAAGAATTAAAGTTGAGTATTTATGAAATTACTAATGATGCTCACATGTTAGTTGTTATTATAATTCCAATGAGTTTTCATTGAGTGTATGAAAATGTAAAATGCGAGTATAAATTCATTGCATGATCGTTTAGTGAAAATTCACCTAAAGAAAGGAGTAAATAAATACACATGGTATAATTATGACAGCTTTTCAACAATCAAAGGCTAATCTTATCTCACTCTTTGTCGAGTGACTTTCCTATTGTTTGTCAAGAAAATTCAAACCTAACTATCTTCATTTGTTTGTTGAGAAAATTAACTTAGAATTTTACGATATCTCAAGGATTCAAGAATGGGAGAAACTGTAGTTTAAATGTGAGTGTAGTAATCTTTGATTAGGTTACTCCTCAAAGTTGGTGAGTTTAAATAGTCTATTCACATAAATGAAGTATTATTTGAATTATAGTCTATGATTAAGGATATAAAAATAGTTTGATCACACATATTATCTTACATGTCACATGATTGTTAAGATTGTGATAAGTCATGATTATTGAATTGCCATTATCACATGATTGTCTAATTATTAAATTTCAATTTTTAAATATTATTTTTATTTTTAAAAAATAAAAAACAAAAACCGTTTGAATAAGTATTTTGTATCTAAATATTTGCAAAATTATTGTAATTTTCTATCTTTAGAAACAAGAAAATGGGAAAACCTTGAAAATGTTTCTCCCTATCTTGTTTTAAAAACATAGTATATTTAGTAACAAGAAATTATTTTTATCATCACCTATTATCATCACTCATTATTACACACCACCACCCCCCTCTATCACCAGCCACCACTGGCAATCTGTCTTTACAATTCACCACCACCTTCAATCATTACTATATTTTTTTTTATTTGGTCAAATCAACCATTTTTAAAATGATGATGATCATCACTAATCAATCTCCACTACCACTACCACCGTTTGGGGTTACAATCTAAAAACAATGGTAGCCTAAGATGGCTAGTGGTGATGTTCAGTAGTGGTCGATAACAATAATGGGGTGGTAAAAGGTGCCAATAACCAATAATGATGGCGAAACTCAAAAATATTATCTTAAATGGATAATTTAGACCAAAAATATATTTCCAAATTATTATAATCAAAGAAATTTTTCTTTTATTTTGTTCCGAAAAAGGTTTTAAAAATTAATTTACAAATTTTTTTAAAAAAGAAAACTAGGAACAAAATCAAACAATTCCAAAAAAACACTAAAAGAAATCCTACGTTGAAAAATAAACATAGATAACCATCATAATCACAAATCCGAGATCAATTCTTGCCCGATTGTACATTTTGAATCATTGTGGGTTTATTGATTCATATCAAGACGCACTAAAATAGTGCTCTCTCAAGATGTCATCAGTGTGTGGCAAACAAAAACAAAAATTATAATGCATTCTCAATAGATCTAGGTCACTACCAAGCGGAAAGCCATTTGCTTTAGTAAGTCCCAATAACATGTCAAACTCATCAAAACTAGCCTGGATTCCATGCCCTGCGGCAAACTTATTTACTAATCACATTTACAAGGGATATTGAATTTATAATTCTTTCAAGCATCAAATTTCAGTACATCGATGCCAAGCAACACAGGCTCACTAAGCAATAAACTGATGCAATCAAATGAAAGTAGCAGCAATCAAAAACGGCAAAAATGTACCAACTAAAATTGGCACGAGTCTATCACTCTTGTTATTTAAGCAAATAATTGAGAATTCAAATCATAGCTCGTGCATGTAGAAATTTAACAAGGAGGTCCATCCTTTGTCTCCAGTAACTAAAGAGAGAAAATTTCTATTATGGCAAAACCTACTCCTTGTGCTATCCAAAAAAAAAAAATGATAGGGCTGTGTTTTAACAATTGATAGAACTGAAGCATCTTTTTTCATGAGACAAAGGGTTTTAAGAGCAGAGGGATACACACAAATATATGCTCACAATTCAAGATGCTCAAATGCAAGTGTCATGACATAATGCCAATTTTATTTCCTGAAACCACACAAGGGACCAGTACCCTAAAATAAAGCAATACAGCAAACGATAGCCCATCAGATGCAAACCCAAGAAGGGATACACTATGGATAGTTATTCGGGCTCAAATGATTTGAGTGTAGTCTGACTGAAAGATGCCTTTCCTAATTTATCAATTCAGAGCATCTATAGGAGCTTATAAAATCAATATATCAATATAAAATATAAAATCATTCTTCACACTGTTTATGAACAAGGAATTTTACAAGTCATTCCTCATACTAGGAGTGTTCGCAGGATAAAATCAAAACGCCTCTATCTTGTGTCCCATCTTAAAAAAAAAAAAAAAATCGAGACTGAATTTTTATCCTGTGTTCCATCCTATTTCATTAGGAATTGGGATAGGACCAAGACAAGATTGAGATATCCTACCGTCCCAATAAATTGAACAATATTAGAAAACGACCTAAATAATAACATTCATTAAAATTTTAAATCATATAATTTATTAAGTTTAAAATCAAGATAGCACAAGTACATAAATTATCACAAGTTTAAGCCAATTATTGAATTACATTAATCACAATTACACATAATAATAACAATTACAAGTAATTTCTAGACTATAAGAGTAGCAACAATAGGCCATTCAAACGCAACATCACATTATTGTTCTTCTACTTTATTTGGTATGTATTAATCTAATTACTCTTTTAAAAATAAAGTAAGAAATATGATATAAATAAAAGTTATTAAATAAATAAATATAAGAATAAATTATATTAATATATTATAGAGAAAAATATCATCCTGTTTATTCTATATTATTAAAATTATCAATAAAAAAATTTTAATTTAAAATAAAAATTACACGCATTATTGTCAAACTCTCAAGTTTGACTCTGAGCTTATCGCTTTTGCGTTTCTAACTTATAAAATCATGTTAACTCGCTCATAAACTCAAATTAGTCAAAACTCAATAAAACTCATTAGTTGACTTTGAGTTTACTATTTTTACGTTTTTAACTTATAAAATTGTATCAATCTACTCATAAACTCGTTGAGCAATATATCTATATATTATGTAGAACTTAATTTATAGAAACGATAAGATCTAATTCAATGAAAGATAAAACTAAAAAAACCAAAAACTAATATTAATAAAAAAAACAAACAATACAAAAAATAAGTTGCCCCATTTTAAAATTTCTATATTGAGTATCATAATTTATGAATGTAAATAAATTTAATTTTAGTAATTTTTACTTGAAATATATTTAAATTAAATCATGATCATATTTTATATTTTAATTATTTAATAATATACTTTTAAAGACTATTTATTAATAGAAGTAAACTCATAAAAGTTTACAATCTAAGCTTACATTTTGAATTTATATCTCCATCATAAATTTACTTAAACTCATAAGTTTAACAACCTTAACTGCACGTATTGAAATTATAATTGATATAATTAATATAAATATAATTTATGTTAATATAATTAATATATTTAATGTATATTTTTAAAATAAAAAATAATATATATAACATTCAAGACACAACATCTCATCCTGTCCCAAACCCCTTTTCTATCCCATCCCATAAAGTCCCATCCTCATTGTTTTCAAGCCAGGATGAGTCCCATCAAGAGGATATGGAATCAATTGGAATGGATATAAGTTGGACACACTCCTATTTCATTCTCTATACAATGCACAAGACCATTTGCTTAAAACTAATATAATTCTATTTGAATGTTACCATGCGGTTTTGCTAATTTTTTTTGGGGGGGGGGGGGGCCTTCTATCCTAGGACATCATACACATATCCTCTCTTCAATAACAGCGCTGCCTTTCAAGTTGATGCTGCCAACAATTTATGTTCTTCATAGATCTCTGTTTGTCGCTAAGGCTCGATTCATATCCAGGCTTTCGTATCCAAGCTGCTCAAGTCTGTCCTCGTCACTTTTGGGTTGCTTCACTGATGTAACTTCATTTGAAGATCTGCTCCACAAGCCTTCAAAATTATTCTTCTGGTGATTTTGTGTGTATTGATTTCTTTCAGTGTGCAAATTTGGTTTTCATTCTATAATGTGTCAATCAACTGTCGTGTAGAATGAAAAAGAAAAAATTAATAATTTGCACTAATTTTGTTGACTTCCCTTCTACGCTAGATCTTAGTTGCTCTCCTTCTTTGTACCCCTCCTTTTTCCATAGAATTTTCCATTTGTTCTGGAAGCCCATTCAAGGTTCTTGGGGGTTAAAAACTGTTGGTCAAGCAGACTAGTCTCCCGACCCAAGAGACTAGGCTCAGTCTCATCCAACCAATGTTTTAAAAGCCAGACCGCATATTAAACTAAAAAAGTTAGCAGGTCTTTATTTTTGTAGTCTAACTAGTTGAACCGATAGTCAAATTAGTGACTTAGGCTGGACCAGTCCTCAACCAACAAAGTGTGGCCCAAAGTGTTTTTAGACATCCCTCAGGTAGAGTATCAACCCACAGTCTAACCCAGTCATTGTACAGCCGTAGCTGTTGCCCATGGGCTTATTCTATTACAACTGTTATTGTAGATAATGTTATCAATATAAATGAAACAAAATACATAATATTCTAGTCATAACTTAGTTTAAGAAAATTTCAAATACAAATGTTACTTGAAAAAGCACAAACAAAAAAGGCATGTAACAACCTCACTGCATTATTTACTAACAATATTAACTATCCATATTATAAGCTAGGACTGCTTTACAACACATTCAAACAGTAAAATTCTCCATGCAGTCATCCAGCAACCCGAACTCCTGGAGACCAAATATGCAACAAGGACACTAGTCCTCATCCATTAACCAAAAGAAAAATAGCCCGTATTGGATAGATAGTAGCATATTTTTCCCGGCAAAATAAATCAAAGTTTAGATGCTTTTTAATTAGGATCCATCATTGATCCATGAAACTATGACATGCCTTCCATTATAGACATGTCAATTTCCAAGTATGAGTAAAGTATGATTACAGGAAAGCAGCACTCACCTTAAAATTCAACATACCATAGCAGCAAGTTGGAGACTATCCACCTGGCTCTAAAAAACAAACATCGACATAATTTAATTAACCCCTGCCTAAGAGTAATAACCCTCCAGCTAGTGACAAATGGAACAATAAGGAGCAAAGAGGTTGCTAGTATTAACCTACCTCTTTGCTTCCATTTCAAGAGACCAGCCAACTGAACATAATAAATCCCTCAGACCACAAATCATAGTACATAAAATGACTCCTTGCTGATGTTCTCAGTATGGACGCGATCGGCTCCCGCCAAAGTTGTCACGCCTATCAGGCCCAGAACCTCCGCCATCTCTGTAGTTATCTCTGCGTCCACCATATCCACCCCTGTTGCCCCTGCACGATAGAAGCAGAACTATTTATATTTAAAAATAAAATAAAAAATGGACTAGCCAGTCAGCCAATATCATATACCAATATATTGATCATTTATATGGTCAAGTAAACTGTGAAAATGGCTATCAGATTGCAACACATCCTTCCAGTTAACCGATAAAGAAGATGAGAACATACATATTTTTCTACTTGTTTCATGTCACAGGAAAAGAATAAAAACCAAATGGAAACTGAGCTAGCTTAGACTTCCTCAGCATTTAGGTGGACATCGACAATCAAAGTTAGAATTATACTCTTTTAGTAACAGAAGGAAGCTTTAATAGTGAAAAGAGATAAAAGGAATAAATTAGGAGCAGGGGCAAGGTATGGTGCAAAAAAAAAACTACAAGTCATATTTCAGAGAGGCTAAGAAATACAGTGGAGTTGGACAACTTATCCAAATATCAGAATATAAACTCTTTTTCAACTAAGAAAAAATCAGGAAAGGATTGGCAAAAATCCATAAACAGTAGATTATAATGTCATTAAAACGACAAGACTCATAAATAGTGATTGCATGTACTACTGTGTGAGTTTCTAAAGTTTGTTCAACATTTTCAATATTTTAGGGTCTTTGTTGGTTAGTTTCAGTCATGAAGAAAATGACCCCTATGACCCTGGGAAATAAAAGCCAACAAATGTGAGAAGAGGTCCAATAAGCAAAACCCAAAGCTCCAGCAGATGCCATAGGGAAATTATTGAAAACAAGCACGACCATAGCTGATGCCATTGCCCCACAGACTGGAGCCACCACGGCAGTCAGCTCAGTCACAGATGACAGCACAGAGTATCATCCAGGCTGCAGAGAATTGAAGCACTAACACCACCAACCACTAATGACGCATGACATCATTGCAGATAGACCATCCAACACTTCAACAAATAAATCCTTTACAACCGTTAACCCATAAAAAAGAACCAAGATAAAGAACAAGAAGAGCAAGCACAATTTTTTCATTTAGCAATTAATTGCCCAAAATGAATCAACATAATCACAACTCCACTCGTCACAAACAGCAACAATCCCCAAGGGCACATGAATAACATTACAATTCAGAGTGTGTGCATAGGTGACAAAAAGAATGTAAGAAGGATTGATCAAAGATACCCATATGCAGGTGGAGCCTTTGGTGCGGATTTCTCTGCCATGGCCACACTGATTTTGTGACCCCTCAAATCATAATCTAAAATGCAAGATTCATAATTATTTTTGTTACATGAGAAACAATCCAAATATAGAAAATCTAAAACAGAATAGAAGCCAGATGACATACTATTGTAGAAACCACCAGCAGAGTGTGCAGCAGATGGATCTTCATAGGAAAGAACAGCATCACCCTTATTATTGCCTTGCTCATCCGTGTATATTTTTATGTTCCAGGGCCACTGATCTTTATAGCCCCTCTTCTGCTTTATCCTAGCAACCTATATCAATGGAGAATGCTGTTAGTACAGTGATTCACGCGTTACAAAACTAAATAGATAGACACAATAGTAATGCAACAAACTCACTGCCACATTCCGCCTCAACAGTTGTAAAAGAGAAATAAATTTTAGATAATTTATTTATCTTCTAAAGAACAGAGAAAAGCATTTCTAATGTAAAATAGAATCTGTCATTATTCCTTAACTCAAACAAGCATGCATAGGATACCCAGAAAAAAGCTTGCTAAAAAAGCACCCTCTATAAAATGAGCCTGTGGGAAAGTAAACAGATGAGGATATTACTTGTCCTATGCCTCCAAAAAGATCTCTCAGCTCTTCAATTGTCACATCCAGTGGTAAGTTTGATATATAGATTCTAGAATTGTCACAGGACTCCCCGCAATTCTCATCACACTGCTTCACCTTAGATGTGAGCTCGGCAGGAGGTCCACCATATCCGCCTCGATTACCAGCATTATAACTACCATCATATCCAGCTGGTGGCCCAGTCCGACCACCACTCCGTGCATCAACTGAATTGTCACCACCATAACCACCCATGTTACCACCGTAGGATGGAGGGTATGAAGTGGGTCCAACAGTATAGGTTGGAGGTGGAGGTACTGCTTCTGAGCCATAATTTACATTCCCATCATATGAATTGAAAGTTGGTGCATAGTTTCCACCCGCACCTTCATAAGATTGGGCTGTAGGAGGAGGCACTTGACCATAGCCACCATCTTCTCTACCACTGAAAGAATGGTCCCTGTTGCCTCCCCTCCTTCCATCATTGTAATCACCACTGCCCCTATTATAGTCATTACCTCTTCCTCCCTCATAGTTACCAGATCTACCCCCTCGATTATTGCCATATCCCCCGTCCCTTCCTCCTCTATTGTAACCACCTGCACCACCACTGCCACCACGATCACCAGCACCAGCGGGGGACGGTGCACCGCATTTGTTACATTCAGTCCTTCTCGCAAAATTCAGGTTTCCACAGCTACAATTATTAAATTTCCCATCAAATAAAAATACGTGAGAATCCACAAGAGAATACCCATTTTTTAATTACTCCAGACTAGAAAAAGACAACTCCAATAAAGCCTCGTAAAATATATCAGAATGCAAGATTTCAAACCTAGGGTTTGGGCAACGCCAATCTCCGTCTCTCCCACCTCCACCACGGCCACCTCCTCGTCCACCACGGTCTCCTCCTTGATATCCACCACCTGAAATTTACATCCAATTAGGGCATGATCGGCTAAAAAGTAAAAATCAAAACTGCAATCACCAAAGTACAAACCTCGACCACCAAAACCTCCTCCTCCTCCCCCTCGACCACCATAACCTCCTGCTCCTCCTCGACCCCCATGACCTCCGCTGCTGCCTCTCCCACCATAACCACCGCTTCCCCTGCCTCCGTACCCTCCAGCATCATTACCGCCAAAGCCGCCGCCCCTCCCCTTACCCCCATAGCCCCCACCGTCATTACCGCCATAGCCGCCAGCAACGTTGCCTCCTCCATAGCCTCCGCCTCCATAGCCACCTTCACCACCATAGCTACCTCCTTGATATCCACCACCAGCTCCGTAAGGTGGAAGCGCAGTACCGCCACCGCCACCTTGATCATACGTTCCAGACATGATCCAATCTAGGTTTGTCAGACGCCGAGCAAGAATGAGAGGAGTAAACGTTCGGTGAGATAATTAATTGATTATTACAAGAGGGGCACGAAAAAGGATCGTGACTGTAATGTAGGTATTATTTTCATGATATTGAGTGAAAAAAATCACCTTGCCGACTTCTTGTCGAAATTATATAAACGATAATTTAATCACTCAATATATGATAATTTTATTAAAATTTTAAATATTTATATGTCTATAAATTTTATATTAAAAAATATTTTATTTTTATTGATAAATTATAATTTTTTATTTAATTATTATAATTTTTTAAATAAAAATTATCATTCTTTAAATATAAGTTATAATTAAGACTTATTATTTTGAGAATTTATTTTTTAATAATAAAAATTACATTTAATAAGTTAAGATTTTTTATTTAACTTTTACGATTCACAAAATAAAAGTTGTTATTCCTTAAGCAAAAATTATAATTAATACTTATTATTTTAAGAAGTTTTTCAACAAAAATTACACTTGATAAGTTATAATTTTTTTATTAAATTCTTGTGATTTACAAAATAAAAATTGATATTTTTTAAGCAAAAGTTATAATTGAGGTTTGTTATTTTTAATAAGAGAAAAATAATTTTTTCACTTTAAAATTTATTGACACGAAAGTCCTTAGAAATTTCGGTGAAACTATAATACTTCGAGGAATCAAATTATCATTTATATAATTTTAAAGGATTTTATTATCATTTTTTTCAAAATAATTTGATGTGTAATGATGAAGGGATAAAGAAGAAAATATGTCAAGTATTGTCAAAATATGCTATCCATAGATGTAAATATTGTGATAAAAAAAGAGAAGCTAACAAAGATTATGAAGACCCTTCTATCAACATGAATATTCTGAATTAGCCTGCTAACAAGTAAAAGAAGACTGAAGAAGATGGAAGAAGAAAAAGTCAAAAAGACTAAGAGCTAAAAAGAAACCTAAACCTATATTGTCTCTTATAATAATTACTCTAACTTTTTATTTTGTCAAAAAGATTAAAAAGTGTAAGTCTAGCTTTTTCATTTTGTCAAAAGTAGTTTTGTTTTCTTGTAATTATTAGAGTTAAAATTAACCAAGGTTATGTAACTAGGGTTGGAATGCCAACTCTATATAAAGCCATGTAATCTCTGAAGCAACACACATCTGAGAACCTTAGAGCTTTCTTGAGCACTTGAGTTCTCTGCCTCCTTATAACCTTGCCCTTTTACTATCAATAAAAGTATTTTGTTCATTTATTTCCTTCTTTGCAAGTATTGAAGATTAAAAGGTACGGCTAAGTAATTTCTTTTTAGAGGTTAAGGGGGGATTATCATCTAATACTTAACAAAAGTTTTGAATTTCTGCAATGATCTTATAAGGAGAATTACTGATTATGTATTGCTATGGCTACGCCTCCAGTAGGAAACGAAGGAAGGCTGTGCTGTGTTGGTCTAAAGGAAGTGGTTCTGTGAAAGGTCTATAGCCAGGCTTTTGAGACTGTCGACTTGTTAATCTCAGTATGAAAGAGGACTGAGAACCTTTTATGTTCTGCTATGACCCGAATCAGTGTCAGTCAAACCCTGTAGTAATACATAGCCATCTGTTTTAGTTATGGTATCAAAGCAAAAGGTCAAAATGATGTTAAGAGAAAGATAATATGAACTTCTTAATCCTTAAAGTTTATTGTTATTTAACTCAGTTACCTGCTTTCCTGTTTTCCCTAACTGCTTACTTGCTTTACCTATCTGTTATTTTGAATATTTTGAATTGCTAAATAGTTTGGCTGATAGTACTGCAATTGGGCAAATAGTTATTCAAATAATTTCAATTATGATATCTATATTTTTAAATTGGTTAATAGAACAAGATTTAGAAAGTTTAGAAACAAGAATAGGATTAATTTTGGCAATTAACGAATATATAGGAAGAGAAACTAAAATATATTATTCAACACCAATAAGACAAAGAAATACTAGAAAATTTTTAATCTTTCTAAGTATTTGTTTTTCAATAATACAATTATTAGAAGAAGTTTCCCCACGAATATCATAAAAACAATTGAACCAAAAATATATGAAGTGGAGCAAAATAAAATTCCAAAAAGTTCTTATATACCAGTAGAAAATTTATCATGTATTTTAATACCTTTCTTATTAGGAGGAGAAGGAGATAGTATAAGTAATCAAGCAAATTGGACAAATATGTTTTTAATGAAACAATTAGGTTGTTATATAAATGAAAATATAAAAGATTTAGAATATCTTTTTAATGAAAAAGAGATAATAAGCATGTTACTAGAAGAAGTACAAATAATGTTGAAAAAGAAAGTTCTAGAGAAAAAATAAAAAGACTTAAAGAATATGCAAAACCTTTATCATAACTGAAACAACTGGCTATGTATTGCTATAAAGTTTGACCGATACTGGTCCGAGTAATAGCAGAACATGAAAAGTTCTCAGTTCTCTTTCATACTGAGATTAACAAGCCGGCAGTCTCAAAAGCTTGGCTATAGACCTTTCACAGAACCATTTCCTTCAGACTAGCATAGCACAGCCTTCCTTTATTTTCTACTGGAGGCGTAGCCATAACAATACATAACCAGTAATTTCTCTTATAGGATCATTGCGAAAATCCAAAACTTTTGTTAAGTATTAGATAATAATCCTCCCTTAACCCCTAAAAGGAAATTACTCAGCCATACTTTTTAATCTTCAATACTTGCAAAGAAGGAAATAAATGAACAAAATACTTTTATTGATAGTAAAAGGACAAGGTTACAAGGAGACAGAGAACTTAAGTGCTCAAGAAAGCTTTAAGGTTCTCATATGTGTGTTGCTTCAGAGATTACATGGCTTTATATAGAGTTGGCATTCTAACCCTAGTTACATAACCTTGGTTAATTTTAACTCTAATAATTACAAGAAAACAAAACTACTTTTGACAAAATGAAAAAGCTAGACTTAAACTTCTTAGGCTTTTTGACAAAATGGAAAGTTAGAGTAATTATTACAAGAGACAATATAGGTTTAGGCTTCTTTTTAGCTCTTAGTCTTTTTGACTTTTTCTTCTTCCATCTTCTTCAGTCTTCTTTTATTTGTCGGCAGGCTAATCCAGAATATTCATGTTGATAGAAGGGTCTTCATAGTCTTTGTCAGCTTCTCTTTTTTCATCACAATATTTACATTTATGGATAACATACTTTGACAATACTTGACATATTTTCTTCTTTGTCTCTTCATCATTATCCATCAAATTATTTCTTAGTCTTTAGTACCAATTATTGAAACTTCTTGAATTTTTACTATTTCTTCCTACTAGGAAGATACATGTTGTTGGGCCAATGAAGTAGGTCCACTGTTCTTCTTCTGCTGTAGTTGTCCTATTGAGTTCCTGGAAAATTATATGTATTTCTCGTGCTCTGATAGTGGAGATCTTGTATCTGAGGTCTTTATCATTCATAATATCTTCTTTTTCTTCTGCTCATACTCAAATGGTCTTCTTATTGTCCCAAACTTAATCAGATTAATTGGAGGATAGAATTTTTCAGGAGTTATTTTAGCTATTGTTGAGTAACACCGAATGAAGACTCAGTATTGAGTTACTATTCCAAAATAATGTTTGGCAGCTTCCTTAATTGACTCTGAAAGTTTTGATATTTCTAACATATTATTAGAAGGATATATTGAATAAATAAGGCCATAACTATACAAGGTTTTTATAAGATCATGGTTAGTGTTTGGATAAATAATGACTTTGTTGAAGGAATAATGAGAAACGTTTAACAGCAGGTAACTTGCACCAGTTGTTGAAAGTGATTTAAATATGTGTATATATATATATATATATAAAACTACCCCCATTGTCTTCCTCCTCCCTCCTCTCCATCCCTTCATCTTCTTCCTCCAGCATCCTCTCCCTCGTCGGCCCCTTCCCGCCCTCATCTCAGCCTCCGTCGCCCCCTCCTCCCTCCCCTAGTCATCGACCCCTTCCCTCTCCTCTTTCATCACCCCCTCCCCTCTCTCTTGTCTCAGTCCCTTTCGTCCTATCCCTCTGTTAGCCTCTCCCCTAACCCCCTCCTCCTCCTTTTCATCTCGTCACTCATTACTCCTCCTCGTTGCTCCTTTTCCATTACTCTGGGTACCTTTTTTAATTATTAATTTATATATATTAATTATTATTTAATTATAGTTTTATTTTTAATTATTTTTAAATAATTTTTGTTGAATTACTTTTATTATTATTATTATTATTATTATTATTATTATTATTATTATTATTATTATTATGTAAAATTGTTGTTGCTATTGTTGTTGTTATTTTTGGATTTTTAATATCTAGGAAAAATATTTCAAAATTTTATTGATATTAATTGTTACAGGGAGTGCTGTTAGTGGCTTCACAAGACTTTAGGTGTTACATATGATTATTTATTTGGTGTAAAATTATAAATTTTCTCTTTTAAAATTTTTAAAAACTTTTAGAGGTCTAATTGTTAGGAGAGATTCTGCCGAAATTTTTTAAAATCTATTATTTTCCTAACTTACTTAAAATCATAAATTAATTAGGAATTTATATTTTTTTTGAAATAGTTTGAAGACAATAACATGCACATTAGTTTTATTCTCCTTTAGGTGGTAACATATGAATCGTAGTTGGATGAATACTAAACAAACAAGTGATGCGTATGATAATAGGGTAAAGGAATTTGTTAAGAAAAATGTTGTTGACAATAGTGAGAGATTACATTGTCCTTATGTAAATTGCTTGAATGAGATGGGACTAAGTGTTGTTGAAATAAGAGAACACTTAATTTGCGATGGGATTTGCAAGAATTATACAGTATAGATTTGGCATGGTAAATGATTAGAAAATCATAGTGGTACATCCCAATATATGAAAGTTGATAATAATCTTGATGATAAAGTAGATATAGATGAAGATCGATTAGAGGACATGATCCGTTATGTTGGGAAGAGGCCTTTAAATGAGCGCATATATATGATAACTTGTGCATTGATATAAAGAGGCCTTTATACCTAGGACCTACTAACTTTAGTCTGTTGTTTAGGGTGTTA